ATATTTGAGAGATATTTGAGAGAAATTTGTAAGAGCTGCATATAACTTTGACTATATGAGAAATTTGAGAGAAATTTGCGAGCAAATAACAAGACAAGTGCATGGTGGTTCCTATGAGAAGTAGCTGAACATCAGGCATTCGCTAATCTCTGTTTAAATTCTCGCTACTTTCTCATTAATTTCTCGCTAAATTTCTGCTAATGTCTCAATTTCCCCTTAATGTTTCGCTAATGTTTCGCTGATTTCTCGCTAGTTCCTCGCTCATTCACTCATCCGCTCGCAAACTAACTGCAAGCAAACCACTCATTAATGTTTGGTGGTGGCCTCGGGATTTACATGCTGTCACGGTCACAATCATGGGTGGTTATAAATAAGGAACCTGAAGGAGCAGTGGTATCGGTAGTTGCTCTACTTGGAGGTTCATGGGTAGTTGTAAGTAAGGTTATATGTAGGGTAACTATCGTTATAACCTATATTAGGGGACTTATAACTACCCATGAACCTCCAAGTACAACCGGGCTCATCATCCCACGCAGCTCGTGACTGCTGAGCAGGAGTTCCTCCATCGCGACGACACGCTGTCAATCGTCAGCAAGAAGAAACATAGACTGAGTGACAAGGCTCCGCCCCCTTGGCACTTCCACCTGAACCGCACCACCTCGCCGCGAGGGACAGCCTACTACAGATGGTGGACCCTAAACCCTAAACCCTAAACCCCTGAACCCTAAACGCTAAGCCCCAAACCCGAAGACCCGAGGATGAACGTGATCTTGAACCAGGGCCTTTTCATCATTTTGAGGCCCAACTGATCTGGCTATCTTTGTTGGAGATGGACCTTGAGCTGAGTGGTTTAGGGTTTAGGGTTTACTCGCTGACGGCAATCCTGATGTCCTACCAGTTAAAGCCTCAAACCCCAAACCCTGGCCTTAACGTCTAAGCCCTAAAACCCTAAACCCGGAGCCCTGAACTACCAAGATTAGGCCCCAGAATCCCGGTTAAGTGGGCTCCTCCAGATCCGACCCTAAACCCTAAACCCTACCTGTAGCCGAAAAGACCTACCCTTTTGGGGTTCCTTACTATGGTTTCTATATATGGTTCCTTAAAAAGGTAGGTCTTTTGGGCCACAGGTAAACCCTAAACCCTAAACTCTAAATCCCTAAACTTTAAAGTGCCCATCACCCAGAAATCTGCTCCATAGGCAACTGAGGTTGTAGGGATACTATGCCCTTCGAGCCCCTGATGTAAACACACTGTGCAGTACCTGAAGGACCGAAACTATGGGAATTATGATATGTATTCCTTATTGTGGGTCCTGCAGGGTTTATATCATCAACCGTAGCACCCTAAACCCGAAACCCTAAACCCTAAACCCCTCAACCCTCAATCCTAAAACCCTTAAACCCTAAACCCCTCCACCCTCAATCCTAAAACCCCTAAACCCTAAACCCGAAACCCCAAACGGAGGGGCTTCCAAGGTCTACGCCGGCCGCGCTGACAGGCCTAGCGACCTGGCTCCTCTGCCTTGTTCAGGGGCTATACGGGTTTAGGGTCTTGGGTTTAGGGGGTTAGGGGGTTAGGGGTTTAGGGGTTTAGGGGGTTTAAGGGGTTTTGGGTTTTGGAATCAGGGGCTCTGGGGTTTAGGGGTTTAGGGGTTTAGGGTTTAGGGGTTGAGGGGTTTAGGGTTTAGGGGTTTAGAGTTTAGGGGTTTAGGGATTTAGGGATTTAGTGTTTTGGGTTCAGGGGTTTGGGGTTTAGGGGTTTAGGGTTTCAGGTCTTAGGGTTTCAGGGCTTCGGCTTTATACTTTGTGTTACTACAGGCTTTTGTAAAGCTTCAATAGTGTTTAAGTGCGGTTCCTATCGGGGTTTAGGTGTCCACTTAAATGATCAGTCGGCTCAGTAAGTAGGTGGGCTTTGAAAGAGGGGTGTAGGGTTTAGGGCACTGGGTTTAGGGTTTAGGGTTAAGGGTTTAGGCTTCAGGGTTTAGGGTTTAGGGAACAGGGTTAGGTTTGGGTGTTGAGGGTTTCGGGCTTGCTAGGTCCGGCTTTTGGAGTCCCACAGTTAAAACATGAGTCCCGTGCCCCAAACCCCTACTCTAGGTGTCAAGGCTCCCATACGGGTTGATGATACGAATCCTGCCTTACCCCTCATAAGGAATATACCATAATTCCCACAGTTTAGTGTCCTTAAGTAAGGTAATGCTGAGGATTTATATCATCGACCATACCCCTATAATAGTACCCTTATGGAGACCCTTATAGATCCCTTTAAGGAAGCCTACAAGGGACCCTAAAAGGGGATCCTAATGTATATCATCAACAGTATTTGTCTTTAGGGCTAAAACCCTAAACCCTAAACCCCTAAACCCCTAAACCCTAAACCCCTAAACCCCTAAACCCTAGACCCTAAACCCTAAACCGTCATCAACAGTCTTAGGCTTTAGGGGCTTAAAGGTTTGAAGGTGCATGCTGGGAAAATCGACCTGAGAGGCAGTGCCGTGTTTCAAGAGCTCATAGGGTTTAGGGGTTTAGGGTTTAGGGTTTAGGGGTTAGGGGTTAGGGTTTAGGGGTTTAGGGGTTTAGGGTTTAGGGTTTAGGGTAAACGAGGGTCCCTTCTTAGGTCCCCAATATAGTACGGCACCCTTATTTAAAGGACCCTAAAAGGGACCCTAATTTAGACAACTACCCATATGTCATATGCGATCGGCAGCGGCTCCATAAGTGGCTCAGCCCAGTAGGCCCTAGACAAAAAGACAAGCCTTGTATCAGCCCTTAGCCCGGATATCCCGAAGAGAAATCATTTTCCCCAGGTTCTTGCACTCCTCAACATGGGGGTTTCCGAAAATAAAATAGGGGTACCCTAAATAGTAAGATCCTTATTATAAGGACCCCAAAATAAGGTCGGAAAGTCCCACATAATTCTGACATCGAGCCTCTGATGTTTCGCGGGCTGTAAGGAGAAGAAGACCCTGCAGGTCAAATTGCCCAACATCCTGCTGCTGCTCCAAACACTGAAGACAAGAAATAAGCCCTAAACCCGAAACCCTAAACCGACCCATCCTAAAGCTCAGAGACCTAGTAAGGCTGCAACCCCAGAGCCGAAATCGCTAAACCGGCTAATGCATGCGACCGGCTAAGTTTAAGAGCCCAAAACCTGCAAAGATCGCCAAAGGCTGTGTTCTTGTTACGGGGTTTAATGCAAGTTGCCATAACAAAGAAACCCTATAGACATAAATAGATGCCTTTTATGATGACTTGAATTCAACCCCCTTTACCAGTTTGAACAAGAAGACGAGCCCCCAGACCTCCTGTTTTTGCGCGATGGGGGCCGGGGGTGGCGCCACTCTATCCAGAGATCCCAATACACCTTAATTATAAGGAATATACCTTAACTTATAGGCGCCTTAATATTATGATTTAAGGTATATTCCTTAATTAAGGGGTATTGGGTTCTCTGGGTATCTCCCTTGGCATGAGAATCCTGACCCCTCATTCCGAAACTCTAGCTCGCATAGACCCCAGACCCAAATTCCTAAATTTCAGGACTTCAGTTCCTAAACCCATCCCGAACCACTCGAACCTGCTTCCTGATTCCTGACCTAAAATTCTAAGCCCGAATTCCTAGACCCCTAAATCCTAAACCCTAAACCCTAAACCCCTAAACCCCTAAACCCCTAAACCCTAGACCCTAAACCCTAAACCTAACGAGCCCGGTGGGTTGATCCAGCTGTACTCAGGTACTCTGGTCCGACGCTGAAGGCCCTGGCATGGTGCAGAGTACAGGTAAGGGGTTCAGGGTATAGGGTTTAGGG